CGTTAAACGTAACCTTAGTATCAAAATAAACACCCAGATCCTTAATTACATTTACATTTTCTAAAATAACATCATTAATACTATAAGAAAAATTTATTTTATTTTTTATCCTAAAAAAATTTATTACTTTGCATTTGCTAATATTTAAAGACATACAATTATCACTGCACCAAGATTCTAAATTCTTAATATCCGCTTGAATTTTTTTACAGTCATCTAAACTGGACACTACACTATACAATTTAAGGTCATCTGCAAACAATAATACCTTACAAAATTTTATCCTACTACAAATATCGTTTATAAAACAGTTAAAAAGAAGTGGGGACAAATGACCACCTTGTGGTACACCTGATGATACAGCTATTTTAACTGACCGAAACCGATTATTAATTAAAACAGTTTGAGTTCTTCCATTTAAAAAACTTGTTAACCATTTATAAATTTTATTCCAATTTTAAGTCATCCTTTTATTCTATAGATAGTAGGCTGATTATATTATATAATAGTATATTATGTATCAAGTTTTATAAATGACATTTTAGTTATTTTTTTATTAGGACGAGCGAACCCTGCGAGCGAGTGTATAATAAAAACGAGTGTCTATGGATTTTTATAAAACGAGTTGCATACTATACTTTATCTACGACAAACAGAAATAAGAATTTAAAGCCAATTTTAATTAAAACATTTTTGACATCTGATGAATTTAACCTTACTTTTTCGCAATTTATAATAAAGCTAACTTCAGCCCGTGACTAAAATGCCCAAAAGCCACTGTTGTTAACTTTAGCCCGCGTGGATAAACATAAAAATGCAGATTTATAATACTTTATACCTCGTCCTTCATTAACTATATGATTAAAATTTAAATTAAAATTTAGTCATATCCATTAAAACAATCATAAATTCAACAGTTACCTTCATAAAAAGCTAGTTTATAAAATGATAAATTTTAATATTAGGTACACACGCAGCTAAACAATAATAAAAATACAGCTAATTTTAGAAAGACTTAAAATAAACCTTTCGTAAACAATGTAACTTTAATTATTAATAAATCATTTATTAAGTAAACATTTTCAAATGTATATCTTTGTTTATATCCACTGATACCTTTTATCTTGGGTTAACAATGAGAAAACAGTGCAATTTTTTTTTCAAAAAATAAACTTAAACTAACACCTCATTTTTTGTATTTAAATTTTAAGGTGGGACTTTTGGGTGTGGAGCATAGTACATTAAATGTACCCGACCTTTTTCAAAAAATTAGACGAAATTAACCTGTCAGATTAGAAATCACACTGACAGATATATAACCTCATTTTTTGTATTAACATGTTAAGGTGGGACTTTTGGGTGCAGGTTATTACATTATTATAGTTACAACAGTCGCTAATTATTATCCACTTGACAATACAATTCATTAATATTAGAACCAATAAAATTCCAGTATTCCATAGTTACGCATTTTATCACAGCGACAATATTTTTCATCACCTTGTTTACACGTTACTAAGGATTTTGACACTTTTCTTAATTTAACATTTGTTGACATTTAAATCCTGTGTTTGTTATATCATTAAAATAATGAATTATAAACTCTAAAAGATCGATGGGTTTGTGTAAACGATAATGAAATTAAGGTAAGTTTGAGTAAATAAGGTTTATTAATAGCCTTTTTATATTTTAAAGCACATTTTAATTTTAAATGTCAAACTGACAATTTTTTTAAATCTTAAAATTCATTATATTTTCTCACTAAATATAACTCGTGGTTTGATTCGATGATATTTACTCATTGAAACCGAAGCAGCTCGGATTCAATTCGAAAATATCATCGATGATAATCATACCACTTGTTATATTACACAGTGCAACACAAAAAAAATGGACGCAATTCTGCATATCACATTCAAAAGGATACATCAAGATAAGAAAAACCCTAGCTTTGTTTTGCGATATTAGCTCGCAGTTTTATTTTATGGCTCTTTGAAGTTTTAGAAAATCTGTGAATTGACCTGCTCAGTTTTGGCCAATAACTCGACAACTATTGAAGATAGCGACACACCTTTTTCATTACAATTTTAGCTAAGAGTGTCAGCAGCAAATTTTATAAACACATTATGCCCCAAAAATCACATCTCAATTAATTTTTTGAGCAAAATATTATAAAAAGTTATTTTTTTTGCTCTTTTAAACACAAGTTGCAATTTATTATACTTTTTGTTAAATTTATGTGGCAAAATTATAGCTTATGTAAAAATAATAGTTATTTATGTCATAAGGCTAAGAAGTTGGTCTTTTTGCGCTGAGCTCAAATTGAGCTAGCACAAAAAGAAACATCTCAGTCGAATGGCATAAAACATTTTATCTTTAAGGCAAAGTCTTATTTGTTAAACGATACATAAAACGTACTAACAATTATAATAACAATTATTAAAAGTATAAAGTGAGGTTAGATAGCTTAAGCTCTAAATTTAGAGCTGTTAGCACTTTTTGAATAACTAGACTAAATTATTTTTACAGCCCAGGAGATTATCGAATAATTTGGTAGTGAGCGTTAACAATAAAAAAGGTTAAATAATATAACTCTTAAAGATGAACAATTTTTGTGAACACATAACCCGAAAAAAATCTAATCTGTGCTTTAATCCAAAATTTAGAGATATAGTCAATTTTTGCACTTCCCAGTAGCCAATTTTTTTTCTTTAAAGAAATATTGTGACATCATTAAACAGTCAAAAATAACGTTTAAGGAGAAAAAATCACAAATACATTAATATTTATCGATTTATGATCAAAAGCCTATATTTTGTATTATAAATTGTAGTGTGCCTGGAAAAAAGGTAACAATTCTTCAAACGATATATGTCATTGTGCAAGTGTAAGTACGGTGATTGTTGTTTCTATTTTAAAGTTTTTGTGATTATAGTTACGATTGTACTCTGTAAAGTTTGTTGATACGTTGTTGTTACTTTTTTCATTTTACGTTTGTTGTTTTCTCGTTTTTACCTTTGTTGTTGTTGTTGTTAAAATTGTCTTGTTGTTAAAACGGGAAAATGGAAAAGTGCAAGGGAAACAAACAATTTTTGTTATGTTTGTGGTCGTTTCACCCCTATGGGTAAAGAAAATAATAAATTGGATCATATTGTAGCTATGTTGGAGCTATCACAACGGAAATCGGAAATGTTGGCGTCATTCCTAAATGCAAATAATTTGCTAGCAAGTAATACTAAAGTGACTGCCTACCGAAACCAAAATAAAGAAATGCAACAATTTTTCACTGTAAATGAAGAAAAAACGTTCGCGTATTGTGAAGACGTCGGGAAGCTAATGAAGGCTATGGATATTATTTACGATAAATTAAACGAAAAACCTTCAATCCCAATCGCCTACAGTCCGGACACAAAAAAAAACGTATGATAAAATGAAGTACATTTTGGAACTGGTCGAGTATAAGCAACATCAGTTGAGAATTTGTTGCGATTTAAAAGTTGTCGCTATACTCTCTGGATTGCAAGCTACACGAAATTCATGTGATTCTTGTGTGATTGGAATACGAGACACACTGGTGACCAATACGCAAAGAACGATTGGAAAGATAGGAAGATAGGAAAAATTGTAATGTTCTACGCGAAGCGCTTGTAGCACCTGAAAAAATATTAATGCAATTTCTTCATATTAAACTTGGAATCGTGAAAAACTTCTTAACAGCTGTAGCAAAAAGAGAGGACGTATTAATATTAAGCAAAATATTTACCGGAATTAGTGAACAAGTTAAAGCATGGAGTTCTCAATGGTCCAGACATAAGGAGGTTAATGAAAAATGAACTATTTGATGCGATGAATTGGTTGCATGGTATTCCATAAAGCAAGTTATAACTGGATTTTTGGGCAAACATCGTTCTAAAAATTATGCAGAATCAGTGCGGCGTATGTTCAATGCATTTTCAACAATTGGTGTACATATGTCACTTAAAATACACTATTTGGATCATCACTTGCAATACTATAGCCGTCAATTGCCAACCGAATCAGATGAGCAGGGAGAACGCTATCATCAAACTGCAATTCCTTTCGAAATGAGGTAGATTTTTATTATTTTATTTCTCAGTTCATTTACAATTGTTATTCCGTTTAGATACAGAGGAAAGAAAGCACCAGATGCTATTCTCGCTGAGATTTGTTGGTGGAGCAAGCGCAGGTTTGAAGGCCGTGAAAAAAAAAACGAAAAAGATGATGAAGAGGAAACGGAAAGATTTATGGAAGATTTTGTTGCTTCTTACGATGAAGATTCTGATGTTGAAGTTAAGCCTGCAGCCAAGAAAGCACGACATTAATATATATTTTTCGTTTACTTAATTTTTTTCATTTTCTTGATTTTGGCTTCAAAAGATACACATCAGGTGAGTTTTTTTCGGGTTAATAAGTTTACAAAAATTGTTTATTTTTACATAAACTATAATTTTGCCACATAAATTTACAAAAAAGTAATATACATTGCGACTTGTGTTTGAAAAAGTAATAAAAATTGACTTTTTACGATATTTTGCTCAAAAACTCTATTTAGATGTAATTTTTGAGGAATAATATGTTAATAAAATTTGTTGCTGACACTTTTGGCTAAAATTTTTCTGAAAAAAGTATGTCGCTATCTTCAATAGTTGCCGAGTAATTAGCCAAAAACTGAGCAGGTCAATTCACAAATTTTGTAAAACTTTATAGAGCCATAAAATAAAAATGCGAGCTAATATCGCAAAACAGAGCTAGGGTTTTCCTTATCTTAATGTATACTTTCGAATGTGCTATGCAAAATTGCGTCCATTTTTCAAAGCCCCCAAATTGTTGCACTGTGTTATGGGTGACAATATAAAAATGACAGTTATTTTATATAACCCTTTTTGTACAAAAAATTGTAATGTTTATATTACAAGTAAAACATAATACAGTCCTGCTAAATCGCGGAAACTTTACAACTTGCACGATAAATCTGCAAGGCGGTTGCATTACATCTTGGAGAATTTATGATAAAGAACAACTATTTACGAGTACTGTAGCAACATCATCTTATTTAAAACGAATACGAGGTGGAATAAGTTATTCTTTTCCATACTTGGGACAAAGTTTTTTTGGACCTGAAGACGGATTTTTGGAAAAAATACAGTGGGAAGTGGAAACTCCACCTGAAAAACTGAAAAATAAAGATGTTACCGTAACGCTTAAAGCCTCAGATACCGATTATACGCGTTCGATAAGTAACTGTAATTGGAAGGTTAATTTGGTGATATTTTTGAGGGAAAAGTCATTAGAGACCGAGTTTACGGTGACAAATACAGGAAAATACTACCCCATGGGTATGATGCTACGACAAAATGTCCATATGTGTCTTCCAAATGTATTTTACTCGAGTATAAGTGGATTTGAAGATTTCAAAAACGAGACCAATTTTTTCAACATTAAGTATGATGTTTTATGCAAAGAAGACTTGGAAAAACCAGAAGTGTTAAGTTTGGTTTACTTGAAATCTCCAGATGAATTTTCCATAACAGAAACGGAGGGAGAAGGAACAATAAAAGTTATAAAGGATAATCAACCTCATATTCATTTTCATAGCGAGTGCTGTAAATTTGAGCAACTCGATAGATATTTAGAAGACGAGCAAAATTATAACTGCTTTTACATTAAAACCGGAAACTTTAAGGATGTAAAATATTTAAGACCTGAAGAATCTCATTCTGTTAAATTTTCATTGGAAAAAATCTTTCCTGGAGAGGATAACGATGCATGGATGTATGAGGATATATTTAAAAACTACTGTTAAATAAAAAAAAATTTGTCTAATGATATAGTCTGTAATAAAACTATGTAACGATAAAACAATGATAAGATTTAAAATTTAAAACATAAATCTAATTATGATTTACTTTAATTTATTATGATTTCAACGACCGAATCTAGACAAATGATCAATATCATTTTTATGGGTTTTTTAAAGTCTATTGAAATTTAGTACTTAAAATTGTTGTTTCAACAACATTTTTTTTTTACTTTTTGAGTGAGTTGGTAGCAGCAGAGTTATTTTTACCCCCTTTTGGTTCTCCCACGTATCCCGCAAATACTCAGCATTAACTGTATTTAAGCCTGTCTTGCTTCTTGAGGTAGGTACTTCTTGTTCGTCTGCGTCTATGTCGCTGCTGAAATTTACTAGGCTGAAAATTCGGATACTCAAATTTTTTACCCCACTGCAGTGCACTGTGCGAAAACCGCATCTTGTCTTCAGAACCGAAGTATTGCTGTCCACGACGGGTTGTTTGTAATTTAAAGATTTATTTATATTCCTACAGATGTATAAACTTTCATAACGATAACGGACCGGTACCCAACTCTAGTTTGTATAAATTATTTTGTTAGTTCTTTACATGTTCATTGTTAAGGTCCACGGTTTAGTAAACTGTGTCCGTTTATGGTTCAGTAAAATTTGGGTATAAAATCAAAATATTTTAATATTTGACAATTTACGATCAAATACCAACTTAATACAAAAATAAATATCATATTTTCTAAATTTATCCAAATAAGAGATTACAAATGCATTAACACTTAAATGCTGGCGATTAAACAACTCAGCGATTTTAATATAGTGGCGGTCTTATCGGCGAAACTAATAATAATAAAGCTTATTAGGAATTCTGATAGAAGTTAATTCACTTCAATCTAAGAAACGATTTTCATGCACAACTTGCAAGTTACATGTAAGCGGTTTAATGGCCAACTCATTAACGTTCATTACCCTTTCATATTACGATGGTATGTTAACCTTTTTGAATCTTAAATCTGATTTTATTTTGGATGCTTCTACATACATATTGCAATATCATGAGATAAATTAGTTGGTCAGTTTTTAAAATACCATTTGAAATGTAATTACATATCCCTGTTGTAAATGACCGATTAATTCCTGTAGAAACCAATTGAAGTATTGGTTGGTATCAATGGGTCTGAATTGGACTTACTGGATTTAATTGGGCGCGATATAAAACAGAAATTGGTTTTTACTGGTATTTTCCATGATGGAAAATACCAGTTAGGATTCTAATGGTTTTTATTGGTTTCGATTGGATAAAGCTACCTATAGGTAATTTCCAATTGAATTCAATTGGGCATTCCCATTGTAAGATTCGAAAAATCTGCTAATTGGTTATTCCCAATACAATACAAATATCGCAAGAGGGCTCTCGTGTAGCTGCGCAAAATCAACGAGGTTGAGACGCCATCATAAAGAAAAAACGTCTTTGGACGCCATTTATTAGCGGTTTATTTTATTAGTCGATTTCAGTGTTAAGTGCCTAGTGTTAGTAGTCTACTTATATATTAAAAAAATGTTTATATGTGTAACATTACATTGTGTAAGATTTAGGGATTTAGGCGATAGTAAGTTATATGTATTAATACATACATACTATCGCTAACAAAAAAAACTCATACAGCTATATTGTGGCTGTGTGAATAAAACTTTTCCGTCAATGTCAAGCTGACATCGAGCTTTGTCACATCCATTATGACTTTTTTAACAACATTTTAATCCAAAAAATACAGACGAACTCTGGCAAGCCATTGAAGCCATTTGGAACTAGATAAAGCAAGACGGCGACTTCCATGCTTTGCCGTTTGCGGGCAGTAATTGACAAAAACAGAGGGATGACGAAATATTATTTTTTTTTCAAACTTCAACCTAACTTTGTATTTAATTTTAGACCTTTCAAATGTGACGTTTTATGTTAAAAGCCATAATTACTCCAACGAAATTATAGAAAATCAGGAACACTAGATTTTTAAGCTGTATGAGTTTTTTTTGTTAGCGATAGTATATCACAAAAAAAATAATAAATAAATAAAATTACTTAGTAACAATAAATTTTTTGTCTCTTCTGTAAAAAATGAATTCTGGTTTTTACCCGGTTATCCTTCTGGGATCTAAAATTATTTTTGAATGAAAAATAAACTGGTAGGTATTTTCTAATCCAAATTTTAAAAAATTAATTGGTTTAAATTGGTTGGAATGGGTTTGGTGCTATGAATTACCAATTCATTCCATGTGCATTTCTATTGGATTTAGCCAATAGAGACAAGCGTAGGCATGGATTGGTATTTTCCAATTCAAGCCGCTGACTTCATTGGAAATTACCAATAGGAATTCAACTGGAATGAATTGGTGATTCATAGCGCCAAAACACATTTCAAACCAATTCAAACCAATTCAAACCAATTGCTTATTTTTTATTGGATTCTATTGGTATTTCCCAATTCAAGCCGCTGACTTCATTGGAAATTACCAATAGGAATTCAACTGGAATGAATTGGTGATTCATAGCGCCAAAACACATTTCAAACCATTTAAAACCAATTCAAACCAATTACTTATTTTTTATTGGTTTCTATTGGTCATTTACAATAGGGATATTATTGACAGCTTTAAAATGGGTTAACCCATTTTAAAGCTGTCAATAATATACAAAAACAGAAATAAAAGTGTTAGATTAATTAAAACTAAACTCTTTTAAACCACAATTTTATTACAAATTTAAAATGCCAATCAGGCTTACAAAATTAAATGTGCGTAGCGTTCTGTATCTCAACCAAGAAATGTCCCGTTTTCTCGACCTCGTTCCCCAATTCCGTCACTGCTCCTCTTTGTACTTCTAGACTCAACAACCATTAGGCACGTATCATGATTATACGTATATTTGGCGAATTCCACATTACTGTTGCTAACATTCGGCCAATCCTGACAATTAGAGTGTCCTCACTCGACCCTGAGTGCCGAAACCAGTCTAGAATCACCTGTGACGGTTAACTCTTTGAACGAAATCCAGAACTCTATAAGAAAATAATTTTTATTAACTAGTAAGGACTCCAATTTAATTTTAAGAACAACTACAACTTATAATCATTCAGCCTTCATGACGCCAACTCCGGCCAATAGCCACCTACCTAAGAAAAAGGTAAAACACACTCGGCCGAGTATAATTTTAAACAGTACTAATAAAATGTAATACAATAACGAGAATAATAGAAATAAAGGTAATATATAAATCTTAAAGCTAATGATCACCCCATACGTATGTACCAGTGACCCCAGGATATACAAACCACGACCTCTCAGTAAAAGCCCCGGATACGTTATGGTCCACGTACCCTCACTGCATTTACCTCGAAATCGGGAAAGTACACCTGACATGACTCAGCAGTTATGGTCCACCGCTAGTCATACCCAGTAGTTATGGTCCACTACTGTCATACCCAGTAGTTATGGTCCACTACTGTCAGTTACCACCTTCCTCATCAAATACCATCCAAGGCCGGATATTGTCAACCGCCGCAACTCCTGTATACTTTAGCCGCGAACGAGTGCTGCCTGGGATGTCGGACACCTTGTAGCGATCGTTTTCCAGCACCTTGGTGATTCGAAAGGGACCTCTCCATTTTGGCAACAATTTTTGGCTGCTCCCTGTTGCTGCAGTTCCAGTCATCCGTAGTAAAACAAGGTCGCCTTCCGCATAAGGATGAGCTGCAGTCCTAGTCCTGTCAAAACGTCGTTTCTGCTCCGCCTGATATTTATCCTGCTTCTGTCCGATGCTGGCACGTACAGCGGTGACGTCAACCACTTGCCGCTCTATTTCCATGCGTCCCTGTAAAAATACTCTAAAACCCATTAAAACCTCACTGGGGGCCACCCCAAGAGCCTTATTAATTGTGCCATTTAGACCTAACTGTATATTGGCAATATTTTTATCCCAAGTATCATCATCGCCGTTTGCGCCCATGGTAGTCAATGAGTCTAAAATTGTACGGTTATAACGTTCGACTTGGCCATTCGCACGTGGTACTGCGACTGCGTTTAAATAATGTTTGATTCCCTTGGTATTGCAAAAATTTTCAAATTTTTTACTAGTAAATGACTTTCCCCTATCACTTATTATACGCCTAGGAACTCCAAAAACTTTTATCATATCCTCAAAACAGCGAATTGTAAATCGTGATTTTGTACTTTTTACCGCATATAATAAAATGAATTTTGTAAAGGCATCTATTATTACTAATAATTGAGTGTTACCAGATTTTGTTTTTACAAAAGGTCCGAGGTGGTCAACATGAACCGTATGAAATGGTACTGGGATTTTTGGTATTGGATGTAAAAATCCAGGTGATTTCCCTTGAGGGTTTTTAAAATATAAACAATTGAGGCAGTTTTTAACATATTTCTTAATAAAATGGCGCATACCTTTAAACCAATATTGACTCGCTAACAATTCGTATGTTTTTTCAAATGCAAAATGTCCTGACTCATCATGAGCCATTCTAAGTACTTGGAACCTGGCAAATTTTGGTACAACCCATCTAAAACCCTGAGTTGTCAACCGATAAATCTTGCCACCTTTTAAACAATAGTCTTTAAAAATCTCCCTATTTCCGTCCCGATCTCCAGACTCTAAAATAACTTTAATACTTTGCAATTCTTTGTCCTGTTGTTGTGCCGCCAACAGCCACGTATCTTCATTGATTACAGTTACTAAAACTTGTTTTTGTAAAGGGTTGCGACTAAGTGCATCCACATGCTGCATCTGTATTCCGGGTCTATGAACAACAGTATATTGATACTCGCTCAAAGCCAACACCCATCTGCCAATTCTAGCATTTAATTCACTTTTTGAAAAAGCGTGTCTTACTGCCGCACAATCTGTGACAATAGTAAACAACCTGCCCAACAAATATTGCCGAAATCTCTTTACCGAGGATACTATCGCAAGTGCTTCTAATTCG